TGAAGGGTTTTATAGTTTGCTTTTTTTAAAAAAAAAAAAAAAAACAGCCTGTAAATAAAATGTAAAAGAGAGAAACTAAAAAGTTAGCTTACCAGCAGCCAAGAAAAACATAGACGGTCCCATTCTTAATTACTGAACCTATTACCATGTTTATTGTTCACTGGGAACTAAAATAATAGCATTTTTTATTTAGTTTTACAGAAACATAAAAAAAGCATAATTTAATTGGTTTTTTTTTCATATTTTAAGAATCATTCATTCGATTCATGAAATACGAGGAAAATTTCAAGATTTGTTGAATTATTTAATTTCGAGCGCAATTCAAAATCATCCATCCTTTACTAAAAAAAATTAAAATTGAACTAGATATACAAATATATTTAAAAATATAGTTTTGGTTGCCTTTTAAAATATTTTTCATGCTAAATTACATTAAAATATTAATTTTTATTTGTAAAAAATTATTTAAATGATACAAAACATATAAAAAAAATTAAATTTTTGAAGAACACAGCCAAACATCTCTTAGAGCTCTTGATTGTTTTCTGAAAAGCTCCAGCTAGGATTTTTCTTTGGTGTCCCTTTAATTTTTTAGGTATTTTTTTTCTTCTTTGATGTTGAATTTTTATTAAACTTCATCATTTCGTGTTTAGTAAATTAGAGATTGGTTCTTATATTCTTTTATCACATAATAAAATAAAAACCATTTCACTACAACATAAAACCATTTCTTTTGTAATAGCCTTGTTGATATACCCAACATGTTATTGGTTTTTCCTCATCTGTGCACGGCTTGTAACAAACAAGATGGTTCCTTCTTTCGAAAAAAGAAAAAAACTAACTATGAAGTTGCATTTCCAAACCTCTTCTTCTCTCTCTCTCTTTTTTAATATATATAAACTGTTAGGACTATGGACTTCCAGTCTTGCCGTGCGTAAATTTCCTCGGATTTCCCCCGTACTTGGGCTCATGGGCCCGAGGATTTATAGCCTGGACGGAGACTTGTGAGGGCCGACTCGAGCGATTTCGCGTCGTCGAGGAAAAAAAAAAACTGGAAGAAATTATACAAACCCGACAGACGGTTGAAAGATGCGCTTTTCATCGTAGAATTAAATAATTGTACGTGTGGCATGCTTTTGTAAATATCCCACAACTGTAACCTAACTTCTATCAGTCCAATTAATTAGCAAGTTTAGTTTCGATGGTCAAATTGGACCAATCGGTTACAGCCATTTGTTCCACACAAGGAAGCAGATTATTCTACATTTGACTCGGAAAAATCACTTGAAGCAGCTAGCCCAACTAGATTGAAACGAATTTGCTAGGAACTGACACGACATTCGTCTTGGACAACCTAAAAAGTCAATGTAACTCTTGGAACACGTCATAAAGAATTCCATGAATTAACCCTTTTTTTTATTAACATGAATATTTTGGTCATTTTACACATATTTTAATTAATTTTATAAATTCTAAAATTAATAACTATATAAATTTTTAATAATTTTAATATTTATAAAATTTTAACTGATAATATTTAAAAAATAAATCTAAAACTTAAGCGGTTAGCTACACTAGACTCCTTTAATTTTAAATTAGTTATTTACTTACTGTAAAGGAACCGCTTATTAATTATGTCAAATCAAAATAATTTTAAATTAATTTTTTTAAACTTGACATGAAAGAAAAGTGGAATTGAGAATCGACTCGTCGTGGAGTACCGAGTTCAATAAACTCAACACAGCACTCCTTTCAATCATAGCGCATGGTGTTCTGCTTACGTTGCATAACTAGAAAGAATAGCCGTTGCATTTAGGATTCAAACGACAAACAGCGCCAGGAAAAAACAAAGAAGAAAAATGCTGGACGTAGGAGAAAAGGGACGAGATGAGGTGGCAGCGAAAGCCATCCACCCACCGAGCAACTATTGCTCTTGTGATTATATTTATGGGTTGACATAATTCGATGCTATGCATGTGTCCAGTGCTCCAGCCCCCATCATTCATCAGTACATCAAACCCTCCTTATCTGTCTCCCGAAGGGGCCCATCTGCATGCATGCATTGTCCCCATAAAACCCCGGACCCACTTTGCCACTGCATTATACACTTGGAAATAGTAGCGTGTTTTTGTAAATCTCATCAATTTTTTTAATGGCGAAATTGTAATGCTCGTAGAAAAACAAGCTTATATTTTTTTTATACTTGTTTTATTTATTATTATTATTATTTTTATTTTTTATAACATTTTTTTAGTTTTTTTATATTTAAGAAACAATATTTTTTTATTTTTCATACTTTAAATATTTATTACTCTATACTTATTCTATTTACACAATTCATTTTGATTTTATCTTTTTTTAATTTTTTTTTTTAAATTTTATTCATACTTTCTAAAAAAATATTATAAAAAAAACTAAGAAAATGAGAACATCAAGAGAGTTTTTTACTCGGTATAAAAAAATATATTAATAATATCTACATATTAATTTTCAACTTGTAACAAAACAAATTGAATAAAAAAATAAAATTTATATATATTTATTTCTGTATTAAAAAATTATTTAACCATAACAAATCGCGGTTAAAATGACTTAGTTTTGCCCAATTGGATTGGATTCGATTACCAATATTCACCCTAGATTCATGCCCCTATAAAGTTCAAAATCATTTGACTCACTTTCGTTTTCATTGGTCCTGGGAAAATGGGAACAACTACAGAGTTTTTTATTGTTAAAAGTGGAGACTCAGCCACTGGTTGGCAACAGTGATAAGAAGAAGAATTCAAACTTGACAAAGGGTGATAATTCCCTAAACTGTGTTTGCTCGAAGCGACAGCCCACGACTCCAATTTTCTTCCAAATGGCTTTAAAAATAAACTGATAGGATCATATACAAGAAGAGAGGGGGAAACGAGTAACGTAACTAGAACTTCGATGTTCTTGCTGATAAACCGAAGACAAAAACTGATAATTTTCAATGTCCACGAGAATAAATGGAACGTGTTAGGTTGCCATTATGTACGTAAATGAGTACGGAATCAATACAGCACACGAAGAAGAAAAGTGAAAATAAAATTACAGATGCAGAGACGTGGGATTTGATCCAAGAAAATCTATATTTTGTATGGTATGAATATAAAAATATAAAAGAAGCAGTCGTGTAGTGTGGAAGACCAACAAAAGATTAGGTGGTTTTGATCACATGGAGCCCCATATCCCCAACACAAAATCTCTCTCTCACAATCCCGATGACCAAACCACCTCCTACCTTCTTGGAAACACCACCACTCACTTCCCTGCCTCCCTCCCTCCCTCCCTCCCTCCCTCCTCCCACACCATCACCGCTTGTCCACCACCACCCACCCTAGCTAGCTAGCTCCACTTTCTTATTTCTATCCAGTCTGGAAAAAAAACACAAAAGAAATAGTAAAAAACGTCGTGGTATGGAAAAAAGGGGTGTTTAGTTTCTTTGTGGGGCTCAAGATGGGTCCCTTGAAAAAGTGCCACGTGGTTTCCATGCCAAGGAGGTAGCGGTAAAGATCATAGGAGAGAGAGGAAGAGGGCTGCACATGGGTGGTGTTGGGTTCAAGAAAATCATGTGATCACATGTGCTCCCTCTTGCCTTTGTTTTGTTTGGTGGACCCGTTTCCTCCTCCATGGACCCTATCCCACAGGTGATCATCATCACCGAAGGTTTACTTGGCAATATATATAATCTTTAATTTCTTTTGTCCTATTTGCCTGCGGGCTTCGTTTGTTATTACATGAATAACTTTTTTTCTTTTTTTTTAGAATTATTTTACATAAAAAACCCTTAATTTGTAAATCCAGCTCGCTCCTAAGAAATTAATGAAAACACATGTTTGTGAGCTGTTGAGTTCACTTGATAAATGGGTTAGTTTCTTGTATTATATTTAAATAATTGTCAAGAGATTTAAATATTTTTTTCAAAAATAAAATAAATAAAAAGGAGAAAACCTTCGAACACAAAACGTTAATTCAAGCAATATTTGACAGTTGCAAAAGATGCTTGATAAATAAAAACAGGAAACAAGAGTTAAAAATCAACATGGAACCCTATGTAATGATTTTATGGATGTATTTGTGTCCTATTTATGTTTCTATTAACCTAATTTATTTGATGTAATTTCTCCACGCGTCGGGTCCAGCACAGTTTTTTGTGTGCGGTGGCCATACCTCCACGGGATAGGTCACATGTCGGCCTTCTTGGCTCAACACGAGCACGCGCCATTAGCCAGTGTATATCGCACCTTCCACTAGAGTCCAAAACTAGGAATGGGGAAGCCGAATGGAGATGGGCCCATCTTCGTTGGCATTGACATTTCTCGAACTCGACAATAATTCAACACCCTCTCCTCCATACATACCGCAGCACCGCGAGCTCACAAGGCTCGTATAACACATAACACAACCCAGCTTCTTTCCTTCCCCTCTCTCTCTTTAATTTCTCTCTGCAATCCTCCGTTTCTTTCCTTGTTTCTCTTTACAGGATATATTGCATCCATGGAGGATAACTTAAACCAAGTAATGATACCCACATTTCATAAAAGAAAAGAAAGGAAAACCACCCACGAGAAATCTGTGATGGCTAATAATGCAAAGCATGAATCTTTAGTTAGTTTGAAAAGGAGCAGGGGAGCAGAGAATGTTCAGAAGAGGAGCAGAAGAAAGAGAAAGGAGATGTTAAAGGTTCAAGAAAAGGATCAAGCGTCGACGGTGGGTGCAGGTGAAGATGATGAGAAGGCAGAAGTAGATAGAAAGATTGTGGCATTGCAAATGATTATCCCAGGGGGCGAGTCGTTCGGGGTAGACAAGTTGTTTGAAGAGACTGCTGGTTATATAATGGCTTTGCAGTGTCAAATCAAAGCCATGAGAGTTCTTGCTGGTTTTCTTGAAGGTCTGGAAACGGAAAAGAGGAAGTCTGGAGGTTAATTAAGCATGGACTCCCATCTTGTATCACTTTAGAGGGTCCGTTCAGGTCTCTCTCTCTCTTTTTTTACATAATTTTTTTCACCTTTTGTTCATTTATTTTATTTTTATCTTAAAGATGGGAGCAAGATTTCCCTTTCTTTTTTTGTCCTCCTCCGTTTGCCGATATTCTTAGAAATTAGTAGTTAACGAGTGAGAATGATTTCCTACATATGGTTGCTGGAATTTTTTAAGCATTACATTTCGTAGACAGTTTCATTTGCCAAGTTATGATCTGCCTTTAATTGGAGCTCTTCTTGTTCGTTTTACCACAGCTAGATAGATCCAACAAACGATTACATGTTGCTATTTTGTTGCATTGATCTTCCCCTTTTTGCTTTAAATCGTAATTAATTTTGAGACATTGATTTCAATCAACACAGAGGTTGGAAACAATAGTTAATGTTGGCCCAAAATAATTAAAATCATGCCTGGCTTGCTAATAAGAAAACCTAATTAATATCTGATGTGTTGCACGACTGCTCCATCCACCTTTTCTCTTTGCTGCCAACTTTAGGGGAAACAGGATGGTTTCTAAAGGAACAATCCGCGCTCTTTGCTCTTGCACCGTTATTTATTTGATATATATTAGCTAGAGAGTCGATGAGAACCCAGCATTCTATGTAATAACAATGAAACTGTACGTATTTGCAATTCAAAAGCTAGTTCATTATGGGTGGAGAAAGGGGGGCACTGTCTCATGCTAAAATTTTCATGGAAATCGACAAAATCATACATGTCTGGTTGAGCTGATAATATACCAGTGAAAGAGGCTGCCTAGCTAGCTTGTCACGATATGCCAGGGGTTCCGACGCTAGCTGGTCAGCAGATAACAACATCCTCCACGAGGTAATTCAACTTGAAGCTAGCATTCAGTAACCTAGAGATCCTTTAGAAATCATACAAAAAAAGAAAAAGAAGAAGGTATCATTCATAAGTTTTTACGTCACTTATGTGGCAATCACTCTTTTAATCGCTCTAGTCTCTCTTTCGAAGTCACCAAGAAATTGATCTGATACAAATAACCAGAATATCGGATATGGCGCTAATTAATGATTGATAGGTAAATAAACTTATTAGAAGGCCAGTTTGAGAAGGAAAAGAAAAACAGAAAGAGATATGCAGTTGATACTTGCATGTTTGAGTGTCTACTTGGGGTTGAAAAATGGATATGTTCCTGCGTCAAGAGTTTAGAGAAGCTTCGGAGCATGGAGGATTTCGCTATAAATAATGGTTGTCCAGTGGTGCGTGTGAGAGTGATGGGCGCAAGATGCATAATAAATACTTGATATTAGGTGATGGGTTTTGCTGGCTGGTGTAGTTGTTCCTCTGGGGCTAAAAAGCCTAAAACGTCCTGGCCATCACATGCATCCTCATGCAATTTTGACCTTTTCTTGAGTATTTTTCCATTCTATTACTCCTGGCCAAAATAAAATATTTTAGGGTATTTTTTTTAAATAAGTAAAGTAGCACATGTTAGTCAAAAATATTAATGGTATTCGCATTAACCATGAACTAAAAAATGCATCAACTTTTTAGTTATAAGTTTTTTTAATTAATTTTTTTTGTTTAATTTAGTTTATTAATATTAATTTTATTTTTATTTATTTATTATACTTTCATTATACGAATTTTAAATTTGACAAGTTAACCCAACATTTTTATTTATTTATTATATTTTCATTACACGAATTTTAAATTTGACAAGTTAACCCAATTAATTCAGATTTTTTTCTTAATTAGTTTTTTCTTCTGATAGATTTTTTTCTTTTGTTTTTTTTTTAATTTATTTCATTAATATTAATTTTTTCTATTTAGTTATCACACTCTCATGACATGGATTATAAGTTTGACAGATTAATTTAGTTTGACGAGTTAGCCCCGTTGATTTAGATTTTTTTTATATATTAGTTTTTTACTTTTAATTTTATCTTTTAATGTCCTAACTATAACTAAAAGAGTTCAACTTTTCACTGTGGATTGCATTGTACAAATGCAGATGAATTTTAGTTATAAGTTTTTCTTTTATTTTTTTATTTAATTTAGTTAGTTAATATTAATTTTTTATTTAGTTATCACACTCTCATAACACGGATTTCAAGTTTAACATGTTAACCTGATTTGACAAGTTAACCCAATTGATTTAGATTTTTTTTTGTTAGTTTATTTCTTCTAATTTTATCTTTTAATATCATAACTATAACTAAAAGATGTCAACCTTTCACTATGGATTGCACCATGCAGATCCGCAGTTAAAGGCGAATGCCTTTTAGTTATAGGTTTTTTTTGCTTAATTTATTTTATTAATATTAATTTTTTTGTATCTAGTTATCACATATTCATGACATGGATCGTAAGTTTGATAGATTATCTTGATTTGATAAACTAACCCAGTTGATTCAAAAAAAAATTTGTTAGTTTTTTTTTCAATTTTATCTTTTAATATTGTAATTATAACTAAAAAAGTTCAACATTTCACTGTAGATTATATTGTACAAATTTATCATAAAAGGCGGATGCCTTTTAGTTATAGTTTTTTTTTTTGTTTTTTTGTTTTTAATAAAATTTTTTCTAGTTTGATTTAGTTCTTTAGTACTAAATTCTTTTCTATTTAGTTATCATATTCTTATAACACGGATTCCAAGTTTAACATATTAACTTGGTTTAGCGAGTTAACCTAGTTAATTTAATTTTTTTTTCTTCGTTAGTTTATTTTTTCCCATTGTATCTTTTAATAATGTAATTATAACTAAAAAAAGTCAACCTTTCACCGTGAATTGCACTACGCAAATCTATAGTGAAATTTCACTGTGAATTGCACTACGCAAATCTATAGTGAAATTTCACTAGGGGTGAGCAAAAAAACCGAGAAACTGAATAAACCGAGAAAACCGAGAAAAGACAAATGCCTTTTAATTATAGTTTTTTTATTTTTAATTAATCTTTTTATTCTTGGCTAAAAATTAGTTCGTTGATATTAAAAAAAATTTATATTTAGTTATTATACTATCATGACATGGATCCTAGGTTTGACAGGTTAACTCAGTTTACTCATAACTTAGTTATTATACTATCATGACATGGGTCTTGGGTTTGACAGGTTAACTCAGTTTACTCATATTTTTTTAATTAGTTTTTATCTTTTAATGTCGATTTGATTAAAAATTAGAATTTATAATTTATTTTATTTACTTTTTATCGTGATCTCATGTGGGGTTTTTATTGTACCCATATGCAAAGCACTATTTATTTAAATAGTTACTTGCTTTGTTGTTTTTTTATTTGTTTTTTGCTTGTCAATTAATCTTTTTTTTGTTTAATTTTATTCTATAATATTAATTTTATTCTATGTAGTTATCATATTTTTATGACGAGGCCTTGCAACCAGACTCATGTCCAAGACTCTTGGATCTAGTATTGCAGTCAGATCCGAGGCTCTTGGTCGCGGCGTTACAGACAAACCCGCTTAAACTTGAGTTATGCAAGTTTAATATTATTATTAATGTTAAAAATATTAGTATTTGTATTATAAATATCGCTATTGGTATTGTAATTAATATTATAAATATTATTCTGAATCTAGTTTTATAGATAAACCTAACATTTTTAGATCTTAGTATTTTTTTGCAAAAATAATTGCAAATAAATCATATAAAGCTTGTCATATGCTTTCAAGATCATGAGAAAGAATAATAAGATCATGAGAAAGAATGACAGAGCATAAAATATAAAACTTAAAAGTCAAATAAAAATCATAAAAGTATGATATATGTTTATTAATTGGAAAACATGTTTTAGCAGAAGAATGTATTGTTAATTCGAGATATTTATCGCTTTCAAGATACAAAATCAGAATGAGTTCTTGTCTAGGATCGGAGATACAAGTTCTTATGAATTTGTCTGTTTGACTGGTAAGTTATTTAGCATTTACAAGCATCCGGTGGTTTGGTTTTGGCTAAGAACACGATTTCTCTTTTTCTAAAATGAGATTCTAACATTCCCAGACAATGGAATTTTTTGAAAATCTTGGTTCGGCCTGCCTGAGTTTCGGAGGAAAATATGTGGCTATAGATTGTTGAATCATTTGTTAAGAATAAATAAATAAAAAGAAAAAAATTATTAATTCATCGAGTTAGCAGAGCCAGGGACTTGGAATAAAATGAACGTTCATGAAAAGGTAATTTAATTGATTAGATTTTCAGTTTATTTTTTAATAATTATAAGTTTAAATTCTATTAAAATTACTGAAAATTTATATAAGTATTAATTTTAATTTGTTTTTTAAAAAAAGAGCATTCATCCCTGAAAAGGTAATGTAGAAACTTTACAAATCACAACTCGCCCACTGACAGAGCCTAATAAAAAATCAGGCAATAAAGTGATTTGATAAATATTCAATTTATTAATAATTCAATAATCCATTACAAATTAGAAAGAGAAAATACCATAAAATAAACAAATAATGCACATGCTAAAAAAAATTAGTTTGAAGCAAAACGAGTCCCAAGAATATATCCAGAAATTAAGAAATGGCATGGAATTAGTTATAGCAAGCATGCTGCCAATCTTATTGTCAGGTGAAAAAATAAAAGTAAACGTTGGTGAGTATCCAACAAACATGCTTCGTCTCCTAACCAGCATTTCAGCACATGCATTATTAAAATCTCTGGGATTTTTACGAGTACAAAAAATCGAATCTAATCGAAGAATTCTTATTTGATCTTGTTTACTTGAAGCATGAAGAATCTATAATTAACATAAACTAATGGCGGTGGAGTTCATTGTTACTCTTATCGTTAAGCACTTAATTTTCACTTCAACGATCTTTTTTTTCCTTCATTTTTTTTAAATATTAAATTTATTTATTTTGATCTTAGGATTAAAATTTCTCAATTGATTTTTTTGTTGATTTCACGGTCAATATTTGATTAATTTGAAATTATATTTTATATTTTTATTTTTTATAAGGTTATTTTAATTTTATTATTTAGATCACAAGTTAGTCAGGTTAACTCAAATTATTTTTATTTTATTTTTTAAATTTTATTTTTCAACATTGAATTTGCTTGTCTTAGTCTTATGCTTTAGGTTGTGGGTTTGACAGATAAACTTGATTTTTTTGTCTTTTTCTGTTAAATTTTTTTACTTCAATTTCATCAGTTAACATTTAGTTGATTTGAAAATAA